ATATAATACAATACAATAAGCCATTTTACAAAGTATTCAGCAGTCTAATGGCGGTGGGGAAGAAACTGTTGTGGAATCTGCTGGACCTGCATCCAATGCTTTCGAAGCCTCTTTCCCCGAGGGCAGCAGGGAGAACAGTCCATGGTGGGGGTGTGAGGGGTCATTTATGATGTTACGGGCTCGGGACATGCAGCGCTGGGTGAAAAATGTCTTTTATGGAGGGAAGGCTTCCCGAGTACACAAGCACATGAAAACGCACAAGTACGCATATTGGAAAAGGCCCTGTTTTAGAGTGGACTAAATACAAACTATGCATCTTTGTTGATTCCAGCATCAGGAGGCCCTGTAAAAAAAAAACAAACAAAAAAAACAGCAACAATTTATAAGCCACATATGACAAAAGGAAATTCAAACAATGTTGTTCATTAACGCTGTGTAAATATACTGAATTGAAATCCCTATTTATTCAATCCATTCCCATTCAATGTGAACTCCCCAGAAAAAATTCAGTTTTTAATCTTACATTTTTTATGTTAGATTTTATTGGATTATTGCGAAATTTAACAATAAGAACATGTACTATTTACCACATAAACAGCACAAACTGTTGATAAATGTAAATACATTCCAATTGTTTTTTGGTTTTTTTTTATCTGATTTTTAAGTCAGAGATGTTTGGTTCTAACACATGATTGTGATTCAGCTATTTTGCTCTGGTGATTCAAGACTCTACATCAACTCACTGATGCAATCAATTTTATTGACAAGTTAAGACAATTTGTTTGTGTTGTGTTCTTTTTATGATTATCTAATTAGCTAATTATTTGTATTTACCTTCTCAATTATAAGTATTTCAGTTGGAAATATTCTTTCATCTTTACATTAAAATAAGTAAATAGTCTTGGGTTCTAACGAAAAAAAAAAGAGTATAATTTCATAGATTTAATATAGTATATAAGTAAAATTTTATTATTGATTTTAATCATCTCACTGCTTTGATCCATAATCTTTCCTTGATTTCCAGTAGTTATAGAAACTGTATCCCACTGTAAAAGTTGCTGTTTTTCCTCTTTACAGTACTGACTCTGAGGTGTTTGAGGATTCTGTTGAGCTGCAGCAATTCTTTATTAAGATCAGGGATGAGCTATGCAAGAATGGGGAGATCTTACTCTCTACTGCCCTCAATTATACATTAAAGCACCTACACAACGATGTGGATCAGGAGAAGAGGGAAAAGATTCCTAAAGAGATAGAGGAGGATAAGCAGAAAAGAGAGGAAGAAGAGGCAAGCAAAGGTTGGTAAACTTTAGTCTCAAGAAACTATAAAAGCAAACATACATCATGTTTATTATTGGTTGCTGCCTTTATTGACAATTGTGGGAGCGTTTTTTATATGTTGGTCACAGATCACATCCTGAAAACTCAATCCTAGTGTTTTCAGTTTCATTCAAGATCTTCTCTTGCTCATTTACAGAGAAAAGGGCAGATGATTTGCAGAAAGAGGCATGGCAGCCAGAATCAGATTCACGACTTGTTTACAGCCAGGACTGCAGCTTTGAGGACAGAACTTACCACGTTGGCGAGTTTGTTTATGTGGAACCATCGGAACCAAACCTGAAGCCTCATATTGTCTGCATCGAACAATTGTGGGAGGATGAAATGGGTAAAATTGAACTGCTTACCATTTAACTTGCTCTTGAGAAATAAACCGTGTGGATCTTTGATGGAATCCATTACTAGAATACTTTTAACCAGCTCTGAATGTGTCTTCATTATTATTCTTTGTTTGTTTTTTTCTGAAGGTGAAAAGTGGCTGTATGGCTGCTGGTTTTATAGGCCCAGTGAAACTTTTCATTTGGCCACACGCAAGTTTCTGGAAAAGGAGGTCTTCAAGAGCGACTACTCCAACAGAGTACCCATTAGTAAAGTTCTTGGCAAATGTATGGTCGTTTTTGTAAAGGTAAGATCGCTACTCTGAATTTAAAACCATGATGGAAAGCAGTTTTTGATTTAAATACAATTGCATATTTACTAATAAGCAACCATGTGTTTAGGATTATTTCAAGATGCAACCAGAGGGCTTTAAACCAGAGGATGTGTATGTATGCGAATCACGTTATTTTGCCAGAAACAAGTTGTTCAAGAAGATCAAAGTTTGGGCCATGCCAGAGAGTTCAGTGAAACTTGTACCTCGAGAGGTTCCTCTTCCTGTTGTGCGTGTCGCATCAATGTTTGCCAAACCTGACCTGGAAAAATTGGCAATGTCGTATGCGGGAGCAGGCAAATTTATAGAAAAGGTAAATGATTTTGATGAGAGTTGAAATGTTTTTATTAATATGCAATAGCAAGACTAGATAAGTATTAAAATCAACATAAAATAAAAAAATATGTCATTTACCTCAACTTTACACAGTTGGAACCTAGCTGCACTGAATCACACTGTAAAGTATTGTGTAGTCCAAGTAATGATAAAAAGGAAAATTGATTCCCTCGTTGATCGTTGCCAAGCAGAAACATTTAGTATTTTCCATATCCTACAGGGGATTAATTAGCTCTGTATCTGGTTACATACCTCATGACATGGCTCTTGGTGACTAAGGAGCTAGGATTTCTGGGTACAAAATGTTATGAATGTATAAACACCTCTTGTGTATGTGCTTGTCACTTTACATAGGAGAGAGAGGATGTCCCTATGGAGATGAGTGCAACGGAGCCGGGCTGCCAGTACTATGAGCAGTTACACTTTAACAAAATGTGGTTTAAAGTGGGAGACTTTGTTTACATCCAGTCACATGGTCTGTCTAAACCTCGGGTTGCAAGGTTGGTCAATGTGCATTATGCACATAATGAATAAGGAAATAAGTCCTGAAATTATGTAGATCCTGTCTAGAGATTCCATAGTCATATATTGGCTGTAATGTGTCGGTTCTTCTGGATGCCCTGCAGGCTAGAAAAGCTGTGGGTACAGAATGGGACTACATTCTTCTTTGGACCCATTTTTATTCATCCTGAGGAAACGGAGCATGAACCTACAAAGATGTTCTACAAGAGAGAAGTGTTTCTGAGTCATCGAGAGGAGACCCTTCCCATGTCCTGTGTCATAGGTACTGCTTTGAAAATGTCTCTAGACTTTTGTTTAGACTTGTTGCATACATATAAAGCCTTAGTTAACGCATACAGTATTATAAACCCATTCGTTGGAGAGTTGGAGGATTTTTGGACCACTTTCACGCTCGGCTTATAAGAAGTCTAAACTGCCGGACACTGTGGGAGCTGTTTAAAGCTTCTCACAACAAAAAGTTAACTAGTTTAAAGGGTGCAGGTGGGTATGGCAAGTCAAAATATCAACAAAAGCCTTCATTTTTAAGTTCCATCTGAGCTTAGGGTCTCTATTGATGATTCATTTTACACTTAAATATATGTTATTGATGGGTAAGATTTTTTTGTTGTTGTTTTTTTGGATGGGCCTTCCTGGATGTTTAGTTTATAGATCCATCATAGGTATTAAATGTTAAAGAACTTGCCATAGGCCTACTTTCTCAATTTAACTGATCCTAATTATGGTTCACTACAAACCCCACATGTTTAGGAAACCCAGGTTTCTGTTGTTTGAACTGCAGCAGAGTTTCACTTTTAGACCAGACAGAACAAAGCTGACAAAATAAAAATAGCAAGAATTTTTACACCTAAGGTACACTGAATATGTCTGGGAACTGTGGAATGTTGATTCCGTTAAAAGTTGCCAATTCTTATGTAAAAGCTGTGAAGGAGCCCTACAGCGTTTTCAACGTCTGGTAAGAATCTTCAGTCAATTACTTAATGCGAAGTGAATTTTTAAAAATCAGTTGTCTCTGATTTTTAATTGTGTGGTCCCAATTAGTAGGGTTATACTTCAGAATTAAACAGCCTCCTTTTTTCATTTTTGTCCTGCAGGTAAATGTACAGTGTCCTCCTTTAAGGACTACTTGTCAAACAGACCCACAGAGTTTTCAGAGGAAGATGTCCTGCTTTGTGAGAGCCGCTACATCGAGGCAGAGAAGACGATGAAAAAATTCAAGGGTTTGAAACGCTTCTCATACTCCTCCAAAGTGGTGGAGGATGAAGTCTTTTATTTTAGGTGTGGGAATTAAACCGTATTAATTCATTTCTTATTAGACCCATGTTGTTCCCTGCTGTTTTATCTTTTTGTTACATTATCTTCTGTAGGAAACTGATAGTGCCACAAAAGGAAGCTTCACCCTTTTTGGACAAGAAGATCGATGAGCTTGAGGTGAAGCTGGCAGACATGGAGGATGGAGATGATGATATGGATGACATGGAAGAAGATGAAGACGCTCCTGCCACCCCTTCTATGCCTCAGATGCAGTCCTCTCTTACCAGTGACATGGACATTATGAATTACACACCATCTCAGGTATTCATACACCTCTAAGGATATTAACTTTAAGCCACTGAAAGCAATGTCTAGTCTATTTAAGTTCTTACTACTGATGATGCAATATAATATTTTATTTATTTATCATTAAGGCAACTCCTAAAGTAAAAGGCCTGGCAAAGAAGGAAGGAGCCAAGAGAAAGATCAATATGAGTGGATATATCCTGTTCAGCAGTGAGGTGCGAGCCATTATTAAAGCCCGTCACCCCGATTACTCTTTTGGGGAGTTGAGTCGTCTTGTTGGCACGGAGTGGAGAAACCTTGAAGCTTCTAAGAAAGCTGAATATGAAGGTGAACCATTAGTACCTGCAAGCTGGATCAAAGTTACTGTGCTGAAATCAACTGACAAACCATTTTGATGTTTCAGAGCGCGCCGCTAGAATAGTGGAGCAGCAGGAACATGACAGACCCTTCAAGCAAGGTTCCCCTAGAGCAGGTACCCCAGTAGGGGCACTGATGGGGGTGGTGCCTTCACCTAGCACTATGGGAATGATAAACCAGTCCATGACCCCTGTGTCAGGTAACCCCTCGCAGAGATAGCAAGACAGCAGGAAAATGAGGCTGGACTGTTTGAAAACCTTAAACGGCCTTTAGTATTTGAATCATAGTTAAAATCACATTCTGGAAGTAGTTCATTTCTTCTTTTGGTGCTGTTAGAAAACTTATTTTTTCATCATCTCCAGCTTCATGTGCGATTTATTTTGCACGACAGTGACTGCATGATAGACTTTTTAACCATGAATGCCTCAAGTTTTTCATTTAATATCCATTTTTTTTCATTCATTCATTTCAAGATGTTTGCATTGTCAGCCCCTTTCACACACTGCATCTTCAGCATTATCAGTGCGCCTAATTTCGCAGTCTAACAAGTTCACACAATACTTTTCTTTATAGCAAAAACAAGTTTCGCTATAAAGCTAACAACATCCATGCATGTATGCATGTTCAGATTTTCTCAGTGTAGACTCGGGGGGACAGGAAAAATTTTCAGTCTTTCTGAAATGATTGATTTTGATCAAATCTCAGATAAATTGCCAGACTATTTTTAAAGATTTTTTTTTCCTTATTTTGATCTGGTCTGGGTTTTTTTTTTTTCGAAGTCTGCTTTTGAAAATACTTAATAACAAAAGCTCAAAAGTTATTGAAGAATATAATGTGACATTAGGAATGTGTATGATTGATGCCAAAATTTCACCTTGAAAAATCAGATTGTCGATATTAAAAAAAATCTTTTCATATGATTGCTGCTTGTGGCATCAGTTAGGACCAAATTATATGTTGCCAACAGAAAAGTACAGATCTTTGAAGTAATTATAGAATTGGTGCCATCTTCGTAGTTTTCTTGTTAAATCAGTTTGACAGGCGGTGTTTCTGTTGTAGCTATTTGTTCCCTGTCCTCCGGTTTGAATAGTTTTTTCCCTTAGATTCACTAATCAAATTGTTCCATAATCATGAGGAATTACTGTTTTCAGAGTCATTTATGTCTTTATAGGTGGGATATTCACAATATTCCCTGCCCTGCTTGTTGTCATAGAGATGTTTCTTTCATAGATGAGCTTTAAGTGCTGAGCTCCTAAGTGCTCAATATTACTTTTCATTTTTAACCCCCCCATTCTTTAAAAGGGAGGAATTTTTTGCTTTTTTTCCCCCCTTGTAATGACAAACAAATGAATTTTACTAAATTTAAATCATTTATCGAGGCTCTTAATACATCCCTGAAGAAGCATGTGTGAAATGGGCAAATGTTTGCAGTAGTAGTAGTGCATGTTTTTTTTTTTTTTTTTT